CGCCCGCTCGAGCAGTCCCGTTCGCCGTAGCTGGCCCGCGGCATGCCGCCGTTGAAGATGATGAAGGGGTTGCTGCGAGGAAGCACACGCGGGTCAGACAGCCCCATCCCCACGCGACACCTCGTCCTGGCAAGGCCAGCACGTCCTGCAGCCCAAATCCTCCCCCAGCACCCTCAGTCCTGCAGCTGCACCGGTCACCCCAGCCCATGGCAAGCCCAGGGAGAGCCCAGCGAGCCCACGGCTGCTGCTGGACAGGCCCCTGCCAGCCCCACGTGGCCAGAGCGGCCCCACGCTCGGCGGGGACTTACCCCGAGTCACTGGTTCGCCACAAGATTTTGCTGATGGCTTTGCAAGGGAACGGACCTGAAACGAAGACAACCCCACAGCTGCAAATTTCCCACTGCACAAAAAGTCCAAGGAGATCTTGGCTTCCCGAGCATGAGAGGAAACCCCAGGGGCTGCAGGGACTTCCCAGCTCCCAGAAGCTGGGACAGTGAGATCAGTGTGAGCTGCACCCACCCAACAGGTATGAACTGGAACGCTAGAGCACTGGAACAGGCTGCCCAGAGAGGTTGTGGAGTCTCCTTCTCTGGAGATCTTCAAACCTGCTTGGACGCCGTCCTGTGCCACGTGCTCTAGGTGACCCTGCGTGTGCAGGGGTTGGACTAGATGATCTCTAGAGGTCCCTGCCAACCCTAAGCATTCTATGATTCTATGATTCTATGAACCAGGCAGTGCTACCCTAGAGCAGGACTCGGAGCGGCCCCTGGACCCTTCCTGCCCCAGTCCTTGGTGCCAAGCCCAGCGCGGGGGTCTGAGGGGACAGACCCACTGCAAACACAGGACGGGGACGGGGCAACGCACCGTAGGGGATGGTGGACAGGACGGGCTTCTGGGTCTTCTGGCAGCTGCCGCTCACGGCCCACACCATGTAGCCCCCGTCGCTGTGCGAGCTCACGATGGTCTTGCCGCTGTGCTCCCAGGCCAGGCTTTCCAGCTGCTGCAAGAGATAAAAAGGGGCTTGAAACTACACGGAAAGAGCCCCCAGCCCCACTACAGCCCCAAAACGGACTCCCCGCCCCAAGCCAGCGAGCTGGTGACCAGCAGCTCCAAGAGATGCTCCTGGTCCACCAAGAGCCAGGCAGGTGCCTGCTAAGCCATTTGCTAAGTGAAGGGGGCCACTAATACCCCAGGCTGGGCCACCAACCAGGTACCCCCCTTGCAAGGCAGCAACTGGGCACAGGAAGGCCCTGCGCTCCCGCACGGC